AGAGAGATGTGCTGCGACGAGAGTATTATGCTACTGACCGAAAATATGATCGGTGACAAACAATCCCGCGCAACTGTTCAGCGACTCGGTTATAATGATTGTAGCGAGCATAGAAACCGAGGTGGTGGGGGGAAGGTATTTTGAGATCGTTGGAGCTTGTTACTCCTTTATCAATGCCTCTGGTACGTTAGCTGTTTACGTGCATGCTGGTGTTGGTGCCAAGAAAAACGTTGTGTGCATTGATTTGCACTGGTCCTCCGAGTGTCCTTGACAGACAACCGCTGTCGACGAGGTGACCGAAGGTCTGAGCGAGACTTTCGGGTAAAGTCGTGCACACTTTTCTTTTAGCAAAATATTGTCATGTAATTTTTAGAATATGTGTCAGAGCACGAAGACTTTATGAACGAAACGTAACGGAGCAATATTTAGACATGAATCAATCCAAACCATTAATAGTGCGAGACTCTGAAGCAATGATCATGAAATGCTTCGCTTCTAGCGCTTTTTATCGATTGCTACCGCGTTTATTTGTTTGTTGCATAAACTTGGTTGAACGTTGGGTAGATTTTTTGTGACTGATACGTGGCGATGAAACCTTCGGTGAAGAAGTCGCTTTCCCTTATTTCTGTCTTAAAATTTGAATCCTTGAATCGATGTAATATAAATTGTTTGATTCATAACGAAAACATTTAGTCTTTCATGATCGGAAATTTTCGTTACTTAGAAACAAAATACGCTTTTTATGGTGTAAAATTACAATTAATTGCGACAGATTTCATTTCGCGCAAAAGATAGTTGGAATAATCAGTCCAGAAGATCATCTGGTAGAGATAGTCATTTTTAGAACTTGACTTGAAAATGCAAGATCTCCAGATTTAACAGTGATTAGACCCTCCCCGAACCTGGACTAAACTTTATGAATAATTTTTTAAAATTTCCCAGATCCCGTTCAAAACTACTTTTAAAGAAAATCTAATACTTGGAAGAGTCATTTTATAGCTTAAGGACCCAAACGTACCGAATAAAAAAATTAAGCATTGTCATTGCCAGCTGATCTGAATCGAAATGCAGATAGGGTAAGATACTTGGGTGATGCCGTCTTCACCGATGAATTGAGACCGACTGATCGTAGCGATCATGAAGAGCAATCTTTTATATTTATGCGTTCTAGACCAAAGCGCAAGTACTTCAGTTTCAGTTATCTTCTGAAATAGCAGCCGAAAAAGTCCAACTTAATCAATCGTTCAAAAAATTAAATCGATTTATGCGCAATCGTCCGATTTACTTTGATAAATACGGACGGACGCGCTCTCCCAAAATCTTCTCTCAGGATTGTAGTCAACTTACCTTTCTCATTAACAGACTAACTTTAAACAAGTGAAAATATCTGTCAAGGTTCGTTAATCCTGTTTTTAACATTCTGTTTCAGGGTTTATGATGCTCCTACACAGCTACTGTACGGACTAAAGAAAATGGACGTCCCAATATTTGCCTCTGACATGCAATATTTTGCATTCTCTTTGCCGTGCTAAGTGAACGAGACGTTAAATTTACGGCTAAATTTAAACTGATGGAGACAACGAATTTCACAGAAATCAGAAAGCAAAAAAATAGACTAAATTGGAGTATTTTTGAAATTCATTTAGATGCTATCTTCTTCTTCAATAAAATAACATTGCGACGGTTCTGGACACAAAGAAGATTCATGGTAGTTCTGACTAGAACCATCAACGTTTTCGCCTAAATACATTTGGCTGAAACGTTGGCAAATCTAGTTCGGACTACCATGAGCTTGGTTTGTTGTGTCTAAAACGAGTGTAGTGCAGTTTATTAAAAAATATTTGAATACTGTGCGTATGTTTCAAAGCAGAACTGTTCTATATTTCAGATAAAATTCAGATCAAGTTTTGATAGCAGACTCAAATTTCCACATCTTCAAAATTCCCTTTGGCTACACTTATTAACTATGATATCACAAACCTGTTTCATAAACGAACGAACGTCTAATAATATTTCGCATTCACAGCATGTAGGTCCACTAAACTAATTAAACTAGCTTAAAATTACACGCTGAAGCCCCGCCGGGCAGGATAATTATCCTTATTTCCTTGCAGTATTCTTCTGGACCTGTTCATGGCTCTTTAATGCCAGAAGCTTTAAAGAACACCAATGTAAATCTAACAATACAAGCTTTAAGCGACCTGAAAACAACAGCGTTCATAGCACTTTTTCACGGATAAAATTATGGAAACAGAAGCTGCTTAAAGGTAATCGACAATTTAGTTTGTGTAGCATTACACCTGAAAAATGCAGCTTAAGTGGAGTATCTGTCCTGCCATCATCCAATTCCAAACATCCGTAACTACAATTCTGAGAGATATTTTTTGGAAGTTTCCTATGAGGATTTCAATTTGCAAACTTTAGCAAATCTTAGGAGCGTCATTATCCGAAAGTTTTCTGATGATTGTGACCATTGACGACAACTTGCAAATAAGCAAATTACGGTGGCATTTTCTAGAATTTTATGAGCCTAGTGATCTTTCAGAAAAACTGTGAATCCAAAACGAGCAAACTCTGACTGCTTGGTCTTAGCTTCGAGTTGACATTCGCCTTTGGTAAACCCGTTAGAAAGATTTTTCTACCACCATGATCTGTGAGACAACGGTGGCAGGAAAAATTAGACAGGTTGGTACAAAAGTAATGATTCATTTTTTTGCCGGGTTCCAGTACTTTGGAAATGTTTTATTTGTTATGCTCTGACGCCGCAAGAGCTTGCGAAAATATAAATTCAGTTGTACTTTGAGACAAGCATCCATGGAGGATTCGTGGAAATGGCACAGGAGATAGAAGCATAGTAGTATGTATTTTCGCTAGCTGCTTTGGCAACCAGAAAGCCTTATGTAAATTATGAAACGGATGAAAACTGAGGCAATCCTAAGAACTGACAGAATAGTTTGTATGGCCCCTTTTTCTCCACATCTTTCACTTTTTTGCTTCAGTGATTAAAATCAGTGAAAGGAAGTTTAGAAATGCTGACATTCATATTACAGTTCAAGAAGGATTAATAATGGTTGATTCTCATGGCATTCTTCTCCAGTAACAATTGAGGCAAAACGCGTTTCTGCTAACCACTGTGCTGTTTTAGCAAATCATCTGTGCCAGTGATTCATACAAGCCATTACAACATATGGTACTCTTCGAAGTAGAAATCAACACCGTTACCGACCGTTAACTTTAGTAACTGCTCTTGTAAAGATTATCACAGATTTGGATGAAATAAGCCTGAAGGTAATGAGGGAAAGGGGCGAACGTCCACATGTTTAGACAGTAGAGCTCCACTGGCTGGCCTGACAAAGGCATTGAGTGTTTAAAGCAAGCAATTCAGCTTCAAGGAGAGATATTCTGATATACTTATGTACACGCAGACGGTTGGAATTATGGGTAACGGAACCGCTTGTTTTATTTCCAAAGAAAACAGGAAGCATCATACATTGCACCTCTGAGACGAAGATTACCCGAGTTAGTCCAGTTCCTCATTGCATTAAATTACGTATCACCAAAATGACCAAACGGCGTGAGCACCAGAAAATGAGGCCTCATTTGAGTGGAAACGTTATCCGAAAATGTAGATCATCGCCGGAAAGCTCTGAGCTAGTCGTGGTCACTTGAATTACCAAATACCAACTTGGTGTCACAACCGACGATACTTTAAAGTTTACTGTGGAAAAGCAATTCATCGGTGTGCTTTCGGCCGTTCAACCTCCTGAATTCAACCGCAGAATTAAATCGTAACATTTGAAAGATCAGTTTAAGATAATATAACATATTTTACTATGAAGGGGTACAGTTTGATTTGAATCGAAAACAAGTTCTGTTCATGCTTATTAAAACAGGAGAGAAAATCTTTTCTGAAACGGCTGATGAACAGGAACAGAACGGTTGCTAAAGGTTTAAAACAATGGATGTAGCTGATCCGTACTGAGAATTTTCGATCCACAGTTGTTTAAGTGAACTAAGCTGCTTGACGGCCTGATATAATTTTTAACTGTTTGCCTGCCCGATAAATCAGTACGCAGTTTCACAGCTCTATAAATTATTAGAGCTTTCGCGCAATGAGGTGTCAGTTCAGCCTCATTGGTCAGAGAGGAGAACTTCACGCAGATACGAAATTCTTCAAAACGCATTCGCTAATTATGATTATGCGAATAATGTTGGGAATTCATAACCAAAATTGCGAGGCTTAAGAATGTGTCAATGATTCCGATCGCTGATCACTCTGAAACTCAAAAAGCAAGTGAGTATTTTCTTATAAGAGATTTGCTCATTTCATACATTTACGTTCGGCGAAAATTCAGCGACCAGCCCTTTCCGCTTTTCATCCCTTCTGCCCGCCAAACTTCAACATCGGGGCCTTCATCGCGAAAAGCAAATAAAGACTAAACTGCATGATCATATTGTCAGGGTGAAGAACAATGGAGTGCATACCTCTCTGCAGTTACCTTACTCGAGAAATTAGGTCATAAATACTGGAACGGTCAGCGAACGAGGTGAATGTCAGCACCAGGGCTGGCAAAGTTCCTAACGCAGTTCTGACTAGAAGAACATTTTGACTACAGATCCGACAGAGGTCAGTGAATACCTGCCGTATTAATTCCCGAAGAGTAGAAAAAACGATTTCATCACGCAGAGTACGCCTAGATGGAAAAGGTCACTCAAAAATAAGACGATGAGCAGTATGTTTAATGATATTAGAAAGTGACATGGAAGAAAAATTCTTAGATTCACTTAGATGATTGCTCCCCGAAAAATCTAGCGTAATAACAACTTAAACTTGCAGTCATTCCCTTGAACAAAAGACAGCATTTGCATGTTATCACCTTCCGAAGAAGTAATGAAAAGCTCATACGGGGCGAAACATCTATGTATACAGAATATCACCCAAGTGGGTATCTATTGCTTAGGATGCGGTGGCTGTAGCAAGGACGTCGTCTTCGAATACCGGCGGCGTCAGGTTCGATTCCGCAGCAGGGATAACTTGTCATAACTGCAAATTTCCTTGGGCAAAAATGTTACCTTCCCGTTTGCTTCGACGGAACCAGCCACGAAACTGATAGCAAATACCTGACTTGCGAACA